GCAGCCCATAACATGTTAATGGGTGTTATGGCTGTTATGGGGCCGCCGCCCCATAACAGCCACATAACCGCTATGAGAGAGAGCTGTCCCGGGTCCACGGTGTTATGGCCCGAGAGGCCACACCGAACTGCTCGCGAGCAGCGTGTCTTCGAGCGCGGGCCGTGTCCCTCCGGCTGGGAAGCGAGGTGCGTCGAGTGCGGAAGCAATGGTGACGAGGGAGAGATGGCGGAGAGGCGGCGGCGGTGGTGGTGGCAGTGGTGGTGGTGGCAGAGGTGTCCGTGGTAGCGGTGGTGCTTGTGGTGGTGGTGGTGCTTGTGGTGGTGGTGGTCGAGCAGCGCGCCCTGGTAGCCGCTCAGCAGCGGCTGTGTGCTCGCCAGCCTGCCCAGGATACGGTGGTGCGCCCCCAGCTGCCCTCCCACACGCAAGCTCGGCTCGGCGCCGGTTGCGAGGAGGGCAGCGGTCAGCTGATCGAGCAGCTGCTTCAGAGCCGCGCCCGACACCTCCGCCGGCGCCACCCCACTCACCCTCGACGCCGCCGCCGCGCCGCCGCTCGCGGGCACGGGCGGGGCGGAGGAGGCGGCGGCGGCGGCGGCGGTGGCGGTGGCGGTGGCGGCGGGCAGCTGGGCCATCGTCGCGATTGCGAGCTCCGCGATGAGCTCTGGCGCGAGGCGGCGGAGTACTGCGTCGACTTGGAGCGAGCTCGTGCTCGGCGCGGCGCCGCGCAGCCGTTTAGACGGGCCGACCTCGAGCGAGTCGCCCTCTCGCTTTGCGCCGCCTCCGCCGCCGGTCGCATCCACCTCCTCGGCGAGCTCGCTCCTCGAGGGCAGCTCCCGTCCCTGCCGTGCAAGCGGGCGTCCGGCGTTGAGCTTAGGCACTGTCTCGTGACACGATTGTGGGCACCGAGGGTGCACTGGGAAGTATCGACATGGGGCACGGCGCAGGAGGCGCTGCGCTAGTACACTGTGTGTAGTGTGTAGTGTGTGGAGGTGGCACAGGCGACCGAATTCAGACGGCGAGTGCGTGTCCTCTCGAGTGCGTGTCGGGGCACGCGGAACTGTCTTCCGCAGCCAGGCTCGCGAGCGAGCCCAAGAGAGGGGCGAGGCGCGGGGAGATGCGGGGAGGTACTGCGGAGATGCGGGGGAGATGCGGGGGAGAGAATTGGGAGACATCCCGCATCTAGGAGGTGACGCCTGCTGACGCAGCACCACCTGCAGCTGGTTGCTGCCGCCCATGCTCATCAGCGCGCGGAAGAGCATCCGCTCCAGCCGCGCCTTGCCGTCGCCGCCGCCGCCGCCGCCCGCGCCGCCGCCGCCGCCCGCGCCGCCGCCCAACTGCTCCGCCGGCAGCGAGTGCAGATGCTTCACGACCGAGAGGAGCGCCGACTTGAGGGACTGCTGCACGTTGGCGCGGCTCGCGGCCGGCACGCTGATCTGCGCTGCGCTTGCGCCCGGCGCAGGCATCAGCCGCGACTGGCACGCGCTTAGCGCCTCCACGACGCGCGGCAGCGTCGCAGGCCGGGCGCGTCCGATCGATTGTGCGAGGGAGCTGATCACGACGGAGAGAACGGTCGGCGAGGGCGGCGCGGTGGCGAGCGCGGTCAGCCGGCC